CAACGAGCCGAAGGGAAAGAAGAAAGGAGAGAAACTCCCTGATGTGATTGAGACGACCAGGAAAGGCTCAAAAAAGAAGTCGTCTGTCAAAGATAAGATGGGGTCCAAGGACAAAACCAAAAAAGGAGGAGACGATGAAGAGGAGGGGAAAAAGAAAAAGAAAGAAAAGAAGAAGAAAGGGTCAGTAAAGGGGGATAGCGATGAAGACACCAAGAAGACGAAAGGAAAGAAGAAAAAGATTGAAAACTATGTTGAAATTTACGAGAACGAGCTTCGTAACTACGAGCCAGAAAAACTGGAGAACTACGAGGACGAGTACCACAAAAAAAAAGGTAAGCAGAAAGTTTTCATCAAAGGCATGACTGAGTAAATTATAGAGTTCCTATATTCAATTCAATTCAATTTATTTATATATCACCAAGTCACAACAGAAGTCATCTCAGGACACTGAACAGAAACATTCATATATAAAAGTAATAATTTAACATTATTTATCTGCGGAGCAGACTGCTTTAAATTTAACTCCATCGCAGACTCTCATCTTGAGCAAGCATGAAGGCGACAGTAGAAAGGAAAAACTCCCTCATGAGGAAGAAACCTTTAGCAGAACCAGACTCAGGACAAGCGACCATCTGCTTCGACCAGCTGGGTTAGATAGGAACAGGAAGGAGGAACAGATACACAATGGCAGGTCGAGAATCACGTGTTAAGATAGAAATAGTATCAAATTAAAACTATTCAATTTTAACAATTCATTTAAGGAAATGAGGTCAACTTGTCCTCCAGTAGTCTAAGCTTAAGGCAGCATAACAAGCCAACCCTAACTATAGGATTTATCAGAAAGGAAAATCTTAAGCCCAGTCTTAAAACTGGACAATGTGTCAGCCTCATGGACAGAAACTGGAAGTTGGTTCCACAAGAGAGGAGCCTGATAACTGAAAGATCTTTCTCCCATTCTGCTTTTGGAAACTCTAGGAACCACAAGTAAGCCTGCAGTCTGAGAGTGAAGTGCTCTGTTAGGAAAATATGGAACAATAAGTTCTCAAATATAAGATGGAGCTAGGTTGTTGAGAGCTTTGGAGGTTAGAAGCAAGATTTTGAATTAAATTCTGGACTTGACAGGGAGCCAATGGAGAGAAACTAAAACTAGAGAAATATGATCTCTCCTACTAACTCTAGTTAAGACTCTGGCAGCAGCATTTTGGATTAACTGAATATTTTTTAAAGAAATATTTGGACACCCAGATAACAAACCATTGCAATAGTCCAGTCTAGATGTGACAAATGCATGAACCAGTTTTTCTGCATCATTTTTAAATAAGATGTTTCTAATTTTAGTGATATTACGCAGATGGAAGAAGGCAGTTCTAGTAAAGTTATTCAGATGGTGTCATGTACAAGAAAACATACTGTAATTTGATCAGCGTGGGGTGGGGGGGGGGGTGTTTGACACTCAGAGAAAAGGAGAATCCTTCATTGCCATTAAAGGAGTCTGAGTGTCTCCAGTGGCGTGTCAGAGCATTAGTTTAATGTTCACGGTAACGTTACACCGACAGATGGGGTAATGTTGACAGTGAGTTATCATCTGTCTACTTGTCTCTAACCTTTTACAAAGTGACGCTCACATTTATCAAAGCAGGACAAAGTAAAGGCTCAGTGTCCGATGGAAAGCATCCTGAAATTAAACTAAAGCCACCAAAGTCCAAATAAAAACTCTGAAAGACCTTGTGCTGTGGAGATCGATCAGTCATCACGCTAAAAGGTTACAAGAACGTCCTGCTTCTTGTAGTAAAGTAGTAAAAATTTGAGGTGGTTTATTTATTTACTTGTAAAAGTTGTTTACCTCGTTAAAAAGACATCAGACCCAACAATATGTGATTGGTTCTGTCTTGACCAACAGAAAAACTGTTTTCATTCAACCTTTATTTATACAGGTTAGTGTCACTGAGTCACGACACGAGGACTCGTTTTCAAGAGGGCTGTTTTAGACAAATAACATATGGTAAATGGTAAATGGACTGTACTTACTGTATGTAGCACCTTTCTATCTTATCAAGACACTCAAAGTGCTTTACTCTACGATCTGTGTCCTCATTTACCCATTCATACAGCACATACTAGATCTCTACAAAAATAATTGAACAAATCATTCTAAAAAGTCTAATCAGTACTTTATCACATTCATACACCAATGGGACACACATTGGAGGCAATGAGGGGTTCAGTGTCTTGCCCAGAGACACTTAGACATGTGACTGCTGGTGGAATCGAGCCCACAACTTTTGTATTGGAGGACGATGCTCTAACCACTCAGCCACAGCCGCCCCATAACATATAAGGTACAGACAACAATAATTGAACAAAAAGCAGTTTAAATCAAACGAAAGACGTTATAAACACAGTCAAATCAAGAGGCCATATAAAACAAGGTAAAATAATAAAAACAAGAACATATTTACTTTGATGTTTCTATTGACATGATCAAATGTTTAAAATCCTTCAAAAGAAATCAAAGTTGAGAGTTTCAGATTTTATTGCAAGGTGTTCCAGATTACGGGAGCAGAGTAGGAAAAGGCCGTTTTGCCTAGTTTAGTCCGCACTGAGGGAACGCTGCAGGTAACAAAGACCTGAGAGCGCACGCTGTAACTGCACTGACGACATGACATGTAGGAGGAGATATAAGAAGGTAGCAGACCAAGGAGTGATTTATAGATGAAAATGAACCAGTGTGAGAGCCTACATGTAGATACTGATGACCAACTGACCAACAGAGTGCAGTGATGAAGTAGTTACAACCAGTTATGAACCTTAGTGCCCCATGGTAGACGGCATCCATCATCTGCAAGAAGCTGGCAGTGGCATTTGAGCCAAATCTGGTCCACATATCTTTTAAAGCTTTTTTTACAGCTTCAAAAATGATCTTAGCCTCAAGAGTTTGTTAGTATTCATTCAAAGATCACTTTAAGACTTGTTTATCCATCCATCAATTTTCTTCACCCAAATCGTCCTTCTGGGGTCACGGGGGTCGCTGGTGCTCATATCCAGCAGTCACTATGCAAGAGGCCAGGGAATGCCTGAATAGCTCACAAGTCCATCACAGGGACACAAGGAGACAAACGAGACAAACATGTAAATATATTTATAGAAAGATTAAATGGAAGCAGCATCTCAAGCAGTTAAAAGGACTCGCTGCAATCCTGAGCTACGATGCTAATGCTAACATCTGCAGGTTTCCTCTTACATCCTTCTACCTGTTTTTGGAGTCTAAAAGCACAAGAAGCACAAAGAAAACACGACTGATTTACTAACTTCTAAGAACTCACAAAGGAGTGAAGTGACATCACGGTTCAATGGGAAACTTTTATTTTCATCATGAAAATCTGTGGATCTGGAAGAGCTTCAAAAGACTTGAGCAGTTTTATTAAAAACAAAGTTTATGTGTTACAATGGTGACACACAGGCTTTCCAACTCACCTTCCCTGTGTTTATTTGTCCATTAGCGAAATAACCCATGAACCAAAGGAGGGAATTTAATGAAAAGTTCAGGAAATAATCACTCATTTATCTTCAGATTAACATTTGGAGTATTTCCAATTTAAGATGACCACTGCAGCCATTAAATTTAGAATACACAAAAATGACTATAACTCAGACACTTTTACATATATTGCACTAGAACTTGGTGTGGTAGCTGAGAGCAATTCCCAATACAAACATAGTGTGATATCTCATGAGTGAACCAAACATGTGTGGACCAAAATGCTACAACTCAATATGTATTCATTCCTCCAGATAATGCTAGACCTTTAATCATTTCTGTAGCACATTTAAAAAGAACTGAAGTCAATCAAAATGTTTTACTGACAATAAACTCATTAAACCCTCTAGTTTATGAGGTGGTGACCATCACTGGTGATGAGCGAGGTGCAGGAACTGACGCCAACGTCTTCATCGCTCTCTTTGGAGAATACGGCATCACACCAAAAATTCACCTGGCCAGCAAGTAAGTTGCAATTAGAAGACATATATGTATATAGATC